CACTCCTCCTGTATGGATTCAGCTCAGGTTCCCAGGTAGATAGCCACCCAGTGTGTGGTGTAGGCTCCCACTTACAGTCCTAGACAGGCATGGGTGATTGGTATAGGCATAAGCATCTGGCTGCAGCTGGGGGACACACTCTGATCAAGGCAAGGGGCTGACGGCCACCCCTGAGTGTCCAGAAGGAAGGTGTGTCCTTGTTCCCTAGAAATCATAGGTGGGTGGGTTTTGCAGCTGGAATATGAGCACCTAATGCTGTTGGCTGTAAGGACTGGGGGGCACCTCTTATTCATGGGCCCCTATCTCAGGTGGCTAGGTGGCGTGGGTGGAGCCACCAGTCCTCAGGTCCCTGACGTGTGTAGGTGAAGTTTCTGCTTAATGGGCAGAGTAGTGTCGAATGTCAAGAACCTGCCCCTTCACAGCTGAAACATTTGAAGTTAAGAGTTCTGGTATATACCCCCTTGTACTGCAGTAATGAGGGCCTATCCTGTTGAGATGGGCCTCACAAGTCTATGCAGTGGGAAAGGCACTCAAAGTCTATGAATCCCTTATGTCTGTGCCTAGGCAAAGGATCTATGCCTACCCTGGTTTTCGGGTTTAGCGGAGCCGGCAGTTTATTTTTTCCTCTGTTTGTCAATTTTGTTCACTCTCCATGACAGGGAGAATGGCTCCGGGCGTGTTACGGATCCTGCTTCTGGCTCAGGGGACTCAGGAATTGCTGAAGCTGGTCTGGGACCCAGTGCAGAGCAGGGAGTGGGGAGGTAAATGGATAGAGGTTTTTCCCCTAAGGGGGGTGTTTTTGATCCACGAGGTAAGCTGTACGCAAGTGCTTATCTTTCGCTGATGAGGGCTGTTTCTCACTGGTTTTGAGTGGCCGTGTAGACTCTCTGGCACTGGGTCTCTTCTGCTGTGGAAACGCAACTCCCGAGCATGTCTCTTGACTGCCTCACCACTCACACATGAAGTGCTCAGGCCTGAAGGGCTCCAACTCTCGCCCAGTGAGGTCTGGCAAGTCCTTGCTGCTTTTGAATGGTCTCTCCCTTCCACTGCTACTCAGTCTGGTTCCTCAACTCTGCCTTTGATGTTCAGGGCTCCCAGGTTGCCATATATAATCGAATCACTTGTTTTTTTCGGTTTTTTGTTGTGAGAGGGTCCACTGGAAACATCTGACTAGTCCTCCATCTTGGCCCCACCTCTGGTTATTAGATTCTTGTTGGATATATGGTTTTCGAAAATTTTCTCCCAGTATGAAGTTTGTCTTTTCACTTTTTTTGTAAAGTCTTTTGATGAATAAAAGTTTTTAATTTCGATGAGTCTCGACAGTATTGCCCCTGCATTTTCTTCAAAGAACTTTTTTTTGCTTTAGTTTGCACTTTTAGATATTTAATACATTTTGAATTTGTTTTTGTGTATGGTTTTGTGAGGCATGTATTCTGTTTTATTTTTCTGCTTGTTGAAATCAAATTTTTCCAGCACCATTTATTGAGAGACTCTTCTTTCATCATTGAATGTACTTAGCACCCTTGTCAAAAATCAGTTGATCGTTGATGGGTGGATTTATTCATTCACTTTTAGTTCTATTCCACTGGTCTGTGTGTTTATTGTTATACCAGTACCAAGCTGTTTTGATTTCTGTAGCTTTATAATACGTTTTAAAATCAGGAAGTGTGAGTCCTCATACTTTGTTCTTCTCTTTCAACATTTCTTTAGCTTTGGGGCCTCTTGCCATTTCATATAAAGTTGAGAATTGGTTTTTCTATTTTTGTAAAGAAGGCTTTTGGAGTTTTGATCAGGATTGCATTGAATCTATAGATCATTTTGAGTATTATTGACGTCTTAACAATATTAAGTCTTCCAATTCATGAGCATGGAATATCTTTCCCATTTATTTAAGTCTTCGTTAATGTCTTTCAGCAGGTTTTTTTTTTTTTTTTTGTACTTTACATGATGGTTTACAGAACAAATATTTTCTCATTAAACAATTAGTACACATACTGTTTTATGACAGTAAACCCCACAACATATCAACACTTTTCCTTTCTCGAACTTGGGTTCCCTATTACCAGCTTTCCTGTCCCCTCCTGCCTTCTAGTCCTTGTCCCTGGGCTGTTGTGACCTATTAGCCTTATTTTGTTTTATGGGGCTGTCTAATCTTTGGCTGAAGGGAGTGACTTCATTACTGAGCCAAAAGGGTGTCCGGGGGCCATGCTTTTGGGGTTTCTCCAGTCTCTGTCAGGCCAGTAAGTCTGGTCTTGTTTTTTGAGTTAGAATTTTTTTTTTTTTTTTTTGTGAGTTAGAATTTTGTTCTACATTTTTCTCTAGCTCTGTCTGGGACCCTCTGTTGTGATCCCTGTCAGAGCAGTCAGTGGTGGTAGATGGGCACCATATAGTTGTACTGGACTCAGTCTGGTGGAGGACATGATAGTTGTGGTCCATTAGTCCAAAGGACTAATCTTTCCCTTGTATCTTGTTTTCTTCATTCTCCCTTGCTCCCGGAAGTGTAAGACCAGTGGAGTATCTTAGATGGCTGCTCACAGGCTTCTACGACCCCAGATGCTACCCGCCAAGGTAGAATGTAGAACGTTTTCTTTATAAACTATGTTATGCGAGTTGAGCTAGAAGTTCCCCGAGACCATGGTCGCCACAGCCCTCACTTACGCTTAAGTGGCTTACTCATAAATAAGTCAGTCACAAATGGACAAATAATTGTATGAGACCACTAGTGTAAAAACTCATGAAAAGGTTTACACACAGGAAGATTCAGTCTCAGCAGTGTTTTCTAATTTTCATTGTTTTAAGTCCTTTATGCCCCTAGTTAAATTTATTCTTAGGTATTTTATTCTTTTAGATGGTATTTTAAAATGGAATTGTTTCCTTAGTTTCCCTTTCTCATTGCTTGTGTATAGAAACCCAGATGATTTTTGTTTGTTGAGCTTGTACCCTGTACATTTGCCAGATTCAAAAGGCTTTTATTTAAATGAAAATTACTAAATTTGTCTTGTTTTCCCAAGGTGCCTTAATGTGTGAATATGGATTCCTAAAATTTTTCTTAGTTACCTTCTGTAAGATGTGTTTACATCTACCACATTTAAAGCATTAGAAGTTCTATATCCTTAGTTTCATAGAATTTTAGATATATTCAATTTACTTATCTGTTTAAGTCAATGAGAACAGAACTCCTTTAATTCAAGAGACTGTAATCTAATTTATTAATACCCTCCCTATGTAGGAGAATATTAAGAGGTAAAGGCCTTTGTCAATTATAGGCACATAGGTATACAGACACATAGAAAGTGTATAGCTTCAGTTGTGCAATTTTTGCCTTAAGTAAAGAAACGTGAGAGACACAGAAACATAGAAACTGACCACTACATATTTCAAAGAGCTGTTCTTCTTCCTGGTGTACACAAAATTCTTAATTAATTTGCAACCCTCCCCCTGCCCCCCAAAAAATAAAATAATGAGCCAGTTTTTTATCATCTCCGATTTATCAGATTATAGATCTGTCACATTGACCCACAGAAGATCAACAAGGAGTATATTAAAACCAAATTCTCAGTCATTGCTGTTACCCATGGGGAATTGCTTATTGGATAAGCAAGCCAACAACAGACAATACAATTGTAGACAGAAAAATAACTAGGAAAGAGAAAGTAAAGTTCCATTGCCGTTTGAGATTCATCTCTGGGAGCCATGGAAAGACATCTGGGCTTAAAGTGCCTGTGAGGTGTCCTCCAGCAATGCAGTTCACCCATCTCTGGCAACAGATCCACTGGACATCTCAAAAACTATTGAAGAATAACTTCATGTCTACTGCCAGTGTAAAATGAACCATATTTTATTGAACTCAGTAATGAACCTGTTAATTATTAATTAATAAGGGAAATAATAAGATATTATAACTGATTCCCATAACCTGAACTAATTACAAGAAACTGTTAGACAAACCCAAATGGAGGCACAGAATTACTGGCCTATAATTTAAAAAAACCTCAAAATTATAAAAGTCAAGCAAAGACTAAAGAACTTCCAGTCAGAAACAGACGAAAGAGACTTGACAATTAAATGCAGTACGCGAATCTGAGCTAGATCCTTCAGCTATGGACGACATTAGTAGGATCAGTGCTGAAACCTTAATGAAGTCTGAGCATTAACTGTTGGTAAGTGTGACTGTGTCCTGATTTTGGTGGTTGATGTTTATTATGCAGGAGAATATCCTTGTTGAAGAAAAGAGAAACTAAAGTATTCACGAGTGGGGAACATCAAGTTGTCAACTTACTCTCAAATGGTTCAGGAAAAAAAGTTTTGTACTGTACTTCCAAATTTTCTTATAAGTTGATGATTACTTCAAAATAAAAAAAAAAAAAGTAGTTTATGGGAGGGATACTTTTTATAGGACTAAATATTCTGTTCCTCAAGGTTTTACCATAATAGTTTTAGCATCCATTACTGAGTCTTCCTTAATCAGTTATTGCTATGGTAGTTGCAAAATGGTGATTTTTTAACTCCATCATTCCTTTTATGAGTTTGCATTCTCTTGTAAGAAAAAACTTTTCCTTATCTCCCGCTTATTCATTTATATTAGTATGGACTTGTGGGCTCTTATTTTTTCCGTGTGTCTAATCTTTTACCATCATTATTTATTCTGATGCTTAAATTGGCCCAGGTTGACTTGTGTACAAGGTGTGAGGGTCCCTACTAGCTGACCCCTTGGCAAGCCCCATTGTTCTTTGAGCGCTCCTTTACGTTCAGGATCTTTTTGCAATGAACATCTGTCCAGGCCCTAGAATTGGCCATTTCTCCAAGGAGCCAGGTTTCTTCTAGTAAACGTTCTTATATAAAAACACAACAATCACTATTAATATTTTTGTTCTAGACAGTAATGTTTAAATTGTCATTAAAAGTAGGTTTATTGTCTGTATTTGGCAGTACAGTATGTTCTCCCTTGCATTTATCAAATGAATGTTATTTAAAATTTGTTTTTGTTTACTGTTGATTAGATGAGACCAAGAATAACTGGGAGGTATCTGCACTCTGTCGGGCTACCCAGAAAGGGTTTCATAAAGTTGTGTTGAAGCATCTGAAGAGAACAAAGAACATGGCATCCGTAAGAAATCTGTTGTATTTGTCTTTACCTTTGATAATGCAGATATCAGATTCTTGCGCTCATAAAAAGTTAAAAATCTGCACTTAAAATTTTACTTTTGGATACAAATTAGAGTTATAGAAATAATTTTAATATAATTTTAGCAATAAAGATATATAAACTATAGTAACTGTTTGGTTTATTGACGATTTAAATATTGACTTCAGTTTAAATACACCACCTGTATTTAGTGGATAATAAAAGTATTAAAGTTCATCTTTCATAAGCAAGTCAGAGTACTGATATCATGAATATTAAGCATTGATTAGTTTCCTGATTTGATCTTAAGGACAGCAGTTTGTCACGTTCAATTCCTGCCAGCTAATTTTTTTGTTTTATTTTTTGGTGGTATTCTTTTCTTTCTTCTTTTCTTAATTATTTATTTTTTGTTGTAGAACATACAGCAATTCATCGGTTTCTGTATGTGCAATTCAGTGACATTGATTATATGCTTTGAGTTGTGCAATCATTTTCACCCTCCTTTTTCCTTCCCCATTAACATAAACTCACTGGCCCCTAAGGTTCCTATCTAATTTTTCAAGTTACTGTTGTCAGTTTGATCCCATATAGATAGTTCTTAAAAGAACATAATGCGCAAGGCAGATATTTGTCCTTTTGTGACTGACTTATTTCATTCAGCATAATGTCTTCAAACTCTGTCCATATTGTAGCATGTATCAAGACTTCATTTCTTTTACTGGCTGCTTACTATTCCATTGTATGTAGGTACCACATTTTGTTTATCCATTCATGTATCAATGGACAGTTAGGTTGTTTTCACCCTTTGGCTATTGTGAATAGTGCTGCAGTGAACATTAGTGTACAAGTCTCTATGGAGTCTCTACTTTCAAGTCTTTTGGTTATATGCCTAGGAGTGGAATTGCGGGGTCATATGGTAGTTCTATGTTTAGTTTTCTGAGGCAGTACCCCACTGTTTTCCACAATGGCTGCACCATTTTGCCTGCCCACTAGCAATGGATAAGGGTTCCAATTTCCCCACATCCTCGCCAACATTTGTTATTTTCTGTGTTTTTAATGTGAGCCATCCTAGTGGGAGTGAAATGGTATCTCATTGTGGTTTTGATAGCATCCCTCTGATAGCTAATGATGCTGAACATCTTTTCATGTGTTTGGTGGCCATGATTGTTCTCTTTGGTGAAATGTCTGTTCAAGTCCTTTGCTCGTTTTATGATTGGATTATATGTCTTTTTGTTGTTTAATTGTTGAAGTTTTATATATAGTTTGGTTATTAGATTCTTATCAGATACATGGTTTACAAAGGTATTCTTCCAGTCGGTAGCTTGTCTTTTCACTTTTTTGGTAAAGTCTTTTGGTGAACAAAAGTTAATTTTTATGAGGTCTGTATTGTTTTATGGTGTTTGTACCTTTGTTATTATATTAGATAATCCATTATTAAAGGCTAGGTCTGACAGCGTTGTCAGTGCATTTTCTTCTAATAATTTTATGGTTTTAAACTCATTGGGAAAAGATAATCTTTATTTAACTTTATTTCCTCACAGAGTCAAGAGGTAGATAATTAACAGTTAGCCGACATTCATAGTAAGAAATTACTGATCTCATTCATAAAAGTAAAGATCTACACATATCTAGGTTATGTAGATCTTCCAAAAGTAAAGGTCTACATAGATCTAAGAGTTTTATGGTGTTAGTTTTTCACATTCATGTCCTTAATTCATTTTTTAATCGTTTTTGTGTATGTTGTGAGGCATGGATCTGGTTTCATTTTTCTGCATGTGTAAATCCAATTTTCCCAACATCATTTATTGAAGATACTCTTCTTTCCCCATCTAACGGACTTAGTCTGGTGATAATTTCTTGAGATCTTCTTTTTTTTTTTTTAAACAATATACTATATGACTCTAATGGGGAAAAACGCTATAAATGAGAAAGTTGAGGCAGTATAGGGAAAATATCTCTTTTAGGTATGAAGTAGAAATTAGTATTTGAAAAGCTTATAATGGCTAGAACTAGTCATGCAAACCTCATGGTAAATTCTTTCCACCTTGTTATTTTTGGCAGCTTTTGTTTGAGAGACTTAAATACAACTAGAATTCGTTGTCAAAAATTTTTGTTTTATGTCATATACACAAAACAGGACAACATTATTTCAGCATGTCTCTAGTTTTGCAAATAAAGCTCCTTTACATATACGTGATCCTGATTTCCTGGGACAGTGGTTCTCAAAATGTGGACTTCTAGGCCTGCAAGACCAGAACTATTTTTACTCTGTTGCCTTTGCACTGGTGGTGTATTGATGGGTGACAGTGTTGATTCCTTAGGATTTTATTGCTTCTTGACCCTTGCCTACATGTCTTTTTACTATTTTGGGTGATCAAACAGGCAGTATGCACAAAGCAGTTCTTCTGAGTACTGAAGAACCACAGCTGTCTTGAGGAAAAGCTCTTGTGTGATGGTTTGAGTTGTGAGCTGAAGTAGCCACTTTTTCCATGAGATGCATTTTTAATTGAAAGAACAACTGACAAACAAACTCTGGTTGTTTAGATTTGGGTACTTGGCAGACGTTTTCTCTAAGATGAACAAGGAGTGAGCCTGTCACTTCAAGGAAAACATTTGGCAGTTTTTGTTGCCAATGATAAAAATTCAAGATTTTAAGGGAAAATTATAAGTTTTAGAATACTTGTGGCCATCACCATGTGTGACAGCTATTCATTCTTAAAGATTTTTCTGATAATATTGATGGTGATATTCACAAATGTGATTTTTGGATATTGTCTTAGGCTGAGTTCCCTAGAAAAGCAAAACCAGTGAAGCATATGTATATATATGTGTATATATATATGTATATATAAAACCGTTGCTGTCGAGTTGATTTGGACTCGTGTATATATAGATATATATACACACACACATACGTGCATATATATATGTATGTATGTATACATATCTATAGGAAACCCTGGTGGCATAGTGGTTAAGAGCTACGGCTGCTAACGAAAAGGTCAGCAGTTCGAATCCACCAGGCAATCCTTGGAAACCTTATGGGGCAGTTCTGCTTCATCCTGTAGGGTCCCTATGAGTTGCAATTGACTTGATGGCAGCGGGGTTTTATATATGTATATATAGAGAGGGAGAGACAGATTTATCTCAAGGAAAGGCACACATGGTTGTAGACGCTGGCAAGTTCCAAGTTTGTGGGTCAGGCATCAGGCTGGAGGCGTCTCCTGACTCAACTTAGCTGCAGGGGCTGATGAACCCAAGATTGGCAGACAGTATAGCAGGCATCTGGCTCAAGTCCCAAGAACTGGAGTTCAGATGATGATGAGCTGGATGCAGGATCCAGAGCAAGCAAGCTTTGCCAGAATGACCATATTTATATTGCATGCAGGCCACACCCTCAAGGAAGCTCCCCTTATAACTGATTTGACTGATTACATCAGATCAAATTATGGAGGATGACTACGTCATTTCATAACAGCCAGATTACATTAATACATTATACATTAATACATTATACATTACATTAATACATAATTACATAACTGCCAAACCACTGAGAATCATGTTCCAGCCAAGCTGACATACAACCTTAATGATTGCAGATATATAATGAATTTTGTCAGCATTTAGAAGATATGCATAACTCAGTGAACCAATATTTTCAAATGACCAATACATGTGGTTACCAAATCATGCATGGGTAAGAAATCCATTCAAAATGCAAGACAGACCAATGTATTTTAATGTAATAGAATGTACAGAATTCATTGGTATGGCTTCATATTCCATGGTAAATTATTTTTAAGAAACTACCACTTATTTATAGTATCAAAGAAGAATAACTGCACTTATCTAGAACAACCACTAAAACACCCCTACCTTTTCCACACATGTCTGTGTGAGACCTCGACAACGTATCATACTAGCTGTCTTCTAGTGAGCCAGCCAATGGAGGGATTTGCACAGCTCTAGAACAATGCCCCTCTTCTGAGTTTTTTTGTTTTGGAAAATAATATTTTTTCTAAAATTATGTCATTTTTTTTACATGTTGTGGGTTTAGTATTTTTAAAGAAAATAATAGCTGTTTTTATAATTTCTAAGTTTTTATTTTTTATATAATAAATATTGATAAATACAACCCTGGTAAACAGAAGCTCTTTCAGGGCCCTCAGTATTTTTTAAGAGTGTAAATGAATCCTGCCAAAAAGTTTGGGAACCACGGGCCTAGGAAATACACATCTAACTGCAAAGTTGGATTTGACTTTTTTCATGAATTTGCAATAATATTAACAGCACTACTGTGTAGGATGCAATTAACCATCAGGAGACATTCACAATAGAATGGGTAGCAAAGTAGGCTTTTTTTTTCCTCTCATAATTCTCTTTAATTTTAACCCAATTATATGTCTGTAATTATTCACATTTACAGAATGAAGCATTATCTTTAGAAGCAATAAGAATTAAAGTGGTACAAATGCTTGGACGTCTAGGAGGACAAATAAACAGAAATCTTATAACAGGTAAACTTTTCTTTAAAATAAATTATCCCCTGTAGGTGTATTTGGGGGAGCCACTGGGTGGTACAAACAGTTAAGCGCTTAACTACTAACTGAAAGTTTGGCAGTTCGAACCCACCCAGAAGCACCTTGGAAGACGGGCCTGGTGATCTGCTTCCAAAAGGTAACAGCCTTGAAAACCCTATGTAGCAGTTCTACTGTGCAACACATAGGATCACCATGAGTAGAAATTGACTTGACAGCAACAGACAACAATAATAGATATATTTGTACTTTAATTTGAACTTTAATATTTGTATAGATCATGGTATATTCTGATATTTACTCCTATATGTGATTTACATATTTTCAAACAAGATTATAAAGAATAATATTTTGTCTAATGAAAATACTTTGACTGCACCCATACAATCTGAATAATTTAGTACATCAGTAGAGAAAATGTTCTAGTTTGATTCCGTTAATAAGCATGTTTTCCATTTTGAAATAGAACTCTTCTATATTAAACATTGTGTTGGGGAAATTGAAAGTTAATCTACTTTTTAAAACTTGATATTCTTACTATTTGGATATTTTTAGATTGTTTTTGATGAGAATTAATGTTTTTGATTAGTAAATGTTTTCACTTTTGAAATTTGATATTAAATATACTAGTGATTTTTTGGTTATTTAGGAACTTAGAGCCTATATTGGGAAAATAAATGTTTTAAAGAGAAAGTTTTTAATAAAATTTTGCTTGTTTATCATTTTTTCCACAAAATACATTAACTTTCAATTACTGTTTTTACGCAAATAATGCATGCCTTCTACGTTTATTTGCCAACCGTGCCCTCTCATGGTGTATTTTCATTAGTGTGCTATGCTAATTTTTCTTTACAACAACAAGTAAAAAATTGTCATAGCGGTGACTATGGAAATACCTCTTGGGGAGGGCGCGATTGGCAAACAAATGTAGAAGGTGTGCATTATTTGTGTAAAATGTGGTAAATTGGAAATCAAACACCCCAGACTGTTAGACTTGCTTAAAAGTAATTTTACTTTAAATTAAATTCAGGAATAGTATATTAGGGATTTCTAATGTAGTTACATGTCTGAAGCAAAAGTGAAGCAGAAAGGAAATACGAGTAAAGTGCTTAGTAATAGACTCTGGTTTGACTAATAAAATATAGAGCAGCTGATCTTAGAAGGATTTTCAGTAAAACAATACTCTTGTTAAATCTTTTTTTTTTTTTTTTTTTGACAGCTGCATCCTCAGATGAAATGATGAAGAGATGTGTAGCATGGGACAGAGAAAAGAGGCTCAGTTTTGCAATGCCATTTGTAGAAATGAAGCCTGTTGTTTATCTGGATGTCTTTTTGCCTCGGGTCACAGAATTAGCTTTGTTAGCTGGTGACAGACAGACTAAAGTACTTTTTATTTTTCATTTCACTCACTACTTAGAGTCTGTTGTTTTCAAAACAAATTTTTTGTAAAACATATTTGTTAGGAAACAGATAATCTGTTTTAGCCATTCTAATATCATTAATTTTGTAGTTTCTGAAACATAGTAATTAGAAAACTGCTTTATTCACTTTCAGAATTAAGTGTCATTGGCAAATGAAAGTTAGACATAAATAATCTTAATAGATGTAAGACAAAACCGTAATATGCCAAAAACTCTTCATAATAGAATAGGGCATTTAAAAGTGACTTTTGGTCTGTGCTCAATTATCCCCTCAACCTGAGAGGTTAGAAACAAGGTAATTTCACTTTTTTATATTAATTTGTAAATTTCCAAAGTTGCTTCATATTCCTTATGAATATATTATTCCAGATGTCCAAAGCTTTAGAATATGAATTATTAACTCTTAAAAGTGAACAGAAGCATTACTTTTATACAAGAAGTGCTGTTTTCATTTAATTTGTATTTGAGATCCATGATAGTTGCCTACTATAAAAATTTTCTTTTGAACTTATTAAAGGGCTAAGTTGAGTAGCTCTGTTGAACTTGTGGCCTCTTCCAGATTGCAGCATGTGAACTTTTACATAGTTTGGTTATGTTTATGTTGGGAAAGTCCACTCAGATACCTGAAGGTGACCGCGGCTCTCCACCCATGTACCAGCTGTATAAGCAGACTTTCCCTGTACTACTGCGACTTGCGTGTGATGTAGATCTGGTAAGTGAGATTGTAAAGATGCAATATTTGCAAAACTTTAAATAAGTTCAGTCTAATTTAGTTATCAAACTTTGCTACATGTTGACATCACCTGGGCAGGGGAGGCGCGGGGGTGGGATTTTATAAAAAAGTACTGAAGCCTGCTCTGTCTTTAGCATTTAACATGGTGCTTAGCACATGGAAGGCCGCCAGAAGTACTTGTTAGCCAGCACCATTTATTATTCAGTAGAGTTTAGTCGATACTGTAAGATAAGAACACGATAGAAACCAAACCCTTTGCTGTTGAGTTGATTCCAACTCATAGCGACCCTATAGGACAGAGTAGAACTGCCACATAGGGTTTCCCAGGAGCGGCTTGGTGGATTCGAACTGCTGACCTTTTGGTTAGCAGCTGAGCTTTTAACCAGTGTGCCACCAAGGCTCCAAGAACACAATAGATAGATAAAAAGGAAAAAAAGTTTATTATTTATAAATATTATTTTTCTTTTAATCTGGAAAGCCCAAGAGTATCAACTGATAAACTCTAAGAATTAATAAGGGAGAAAGCTGATGAATTACAAAATAGAAATAAAACACTGGCATTCTCATATAACACTATTGACCACTTGAAAAACACATCTACAAAGATCTCATTCATAATAACATAAAAAAATTATAAAATGTCTAGGAGTCAACTTCAGAGTGCCAGGCAAACATATATTTATGACTATAAGAGAAGATGAATATACTATGTACCTGAATTAGAAGAATCAATATTAAAGGGATGTCAGTCTTCCCAAGTTAATTGAGAAGTTTGGCATAATTCCAGTAAAATTCCCAGAATTAGTTTTTGAATTTAAAATATGATTAATTTGAAGGTATAATTGCTTGAACCTAAGCAAGAAAAATGTTGAAAGAGTAGAGTAATGAAGGAAGACTTGCCCTAACAGATGTCAAAAAGAAGCCACATTAATTGTAACAGGGTTGAAGTCGTGCACAGATAGATCAGTGGGAGGGTCTAGTTGGGAAGTAGCTCGATGTGTATGTTTAAAAATGATATATATGGTAGGATAGGGGACCATTTTCAGTTAATGGGAAATGAGTGGTTCATTTAATAAATAGTATTAGGTGAATTGGAGTCCCTGGGTGTTACAAGTGGTTAACACACTCAACTGCTAGCAGAAAGGTTGGCGGTTCAAGTCCATCCAGATGCACCTCAGAAGAAAGGCCTGACAATCTACTTCTGAAAAAGCTGCCATTGAAAACCCTATGGAGTGCAGTTCTACTCGACACCCATGGGGTTGCCATGAGTTGGTATCAACTAAAGCATAACTGGTGTTAAACGAATTGACTAACATGGAAAAGTGAATTCTAAGAGCATTAAAAAGATTTAGATTTAGCCATTTGTTTAATAAATATGTTAAAGGATTATGTAAGAATATATAGCATATCTATCTCTATTATCTTTCTGTCTCTGTCTCTGTCTGGGTATGTGTGTATCTTTGGATTAGAATGTGTTTTTTCATGATGTAAGTTACATATTCTCAACATAAACACGTCAGTTAACATAAAAACATGTAATGAAAACTGAATTTCCACATCATCACCTCTTTCCCACCCTTACTTAGTACCCTTTGGAAAAAATTTGTTGAATATACTCCCAGATCTTCGTAAAAACTTATAAATGTGTATAGACATTTTCTTTTATTCTACTAAAAGTAGGATCATAGAATTCAAACACATTTTCTTTTGTGTAAAAAATGTGATTTCTGCTACTTAGATGGGTTTTGTTAATATTACATCATAGACATCCTTCCATGTTTTTACATAAAGTTTACGTGAAAGGGAGACTTTCCTACAAGATATTGAAGGCAGACACATAAAAGAAAAATGTTAATTTGTTGGTAGTTTTGACTTCATAAATGTTTAAAACTACCAAATCACATAAAAAACACAATTTTTTTTTTCTGTGCTTAAACCTTTTTTTGCGTTCTTATAGTGGTGGTCTTATACAATATTTGTCCTTTTGCGACTGACTAATTTCATTCAGCATAGTGCCTTCCAGATTCATCCATGTTATGAGATGTTTCATGGATTCATCGTTGTTCTGTATCTTTGTGTAGTGTTCAGTTGTGTGAATATACCATAATGTGTTTGTCCATTCGTACGTTGATGGGCACCTAGGTTGTTTCCATCTTTTTGCTATTGTGAACAGTGTTGCCATGAACATCTGTGTGCATATGTCTATTCATGTGATGGCTTTTCTTTCTCTAGGATATATTCCAAGGAGTGGGATTGCTGGATCGTATGGTACTTCTATTTCTAGCTTTTTATGGAAGCACCAAATCGATTTCCAAAGTAGTTGTACCATTTTACATTCCCACCAACAGTGTATAAGTGTTCCAGTCTCTCCACAACCTCTCCAACATTTATTATTTTGTGTTTTTTGGATTAATGCTTGCCTTGTTGGGATGAGATGGTATCTCATTGTAGTTTTGATTTGCATTTCACTAATGCCTAATGATTTGTTAGCCACCTGAATGTCTACATACGTGAGGTGCCTGTTCATATCCTTTGCCTATTTTTCAATTGGGTTATTTGTCTTTCTGTTGTTGAGGTTTTGCAGTATCTTGTAGATTTTAGAGATTAAATTCTGATCAGATTTGTTGTCATGAAAAATTTTTTCCAATCTGTAGGTTGTCTTTGAACTCTTGGTGAAGTCTTTTGACGAGCATAACTGATTTTTTAAGAGCTCCCAGTTATCTAGTTTCTTTTCTGGTGTTTGTGCATTGTTAGTTATGTTTTGTATTCTGTTTATGCCATGTGTTAGGACTCCTAATGTTGTCCCTATTTTTCTTCTATAATATTTATTGTTTTTGATTTTATATTTAGGTTTTCAATCCATTTTCAGTTAGTTTTTGTGCATGTTGTGAGGTGTGAGTCTTGTTTTATTTTTTTTTCAGGTGGATATCCAGTTATGCTAGCACCATTTGTTAGAGACTATCTTTTCCCCATTTTTCTAAATTTATGGTTCTGTTTTATTATTGTATGAGTTGTTGTTCTTATTAAATTTTTTTATTGTTGTACTTTAAGTGAAAGGTTACACTTTAAGTTAGTCTCTCACTCAAAAATTTATAGATACATTTTTATGTGACTCTAATTGCTCTCCCTATACTGTGACGGCACACTCCTCCATTCCACCCCAGATTTCCCGTGTCCCTTCTACGAGCTACTGACTCTCTCTGCTTTCTCATCTCACCTCCAGACAGCAGCTGCACATTTAGTCTCATGTATTTACTTGAGCTAAGAAGCACATTCTTCGGAAGTATCATTTTATGTCCCATACTCCAGTCTAATCTTTGTCTGAAGAGTTTGCCTCGGGAATGGCTTTATTTCTGGGTTGACAGAGAATCTGGGGGCCATGCTTTTTGGGGATCCTCCAGGCTCAGTCTGACCATTAAGTCTGGTCTTTTTACTAAAATTTGAATTCTGCACCCCCACTTTTCTCCTGCTCCATCCGGGATTCTCTGTTGTGTTCCATGTCAGGGCGGTCATTAGTGGTAGCCAGGCACCATCTAGTTCTTCTCGTCTCAGGCTGATGAAGTCTGTGATTTATGGATCTCAGGCTGATGAAGTCTGTGATTTATGTGGCCCTTTCTGTCTCTTGGGCTAATACTTCCTTTGTGTCTTTGGTGTTCTTCATGTTCCTTTACCCCAGGTGGTTGGGACCAATTGATGCATCTTAGATGGCTGCTTGCAAGTTTTTAAGACCCCAGACGCCAGTCACCAAAGTAGGATGCAGAATGTTTTCTTAATAAACTTTATTAAGCCAGTTGACCTAGATGTCCCCTGAAAGCATGGTCCCCAGACCCCAGCTCCTGCTACTCTGTCCCTCGAAGTGTTTCATTGTATTCAGGAAACTTTGTAGCTTTGGTTTAGTCCAGTTGTGCTGACTTCCCCTGTAGTGTGTGCTGTCCTTCCTTTCAGCTAACGTAATTCTTGTCTATTGTCTAGTTAGTGAATAACCCTCACTGTCTCTCCCCACCCTCATAACTATCAAAGAATGTTTTCTTCTGTGTTTAAACATTTTCTTGAGTTCTTATAATAGTGGTCTTATACCATATTTGTCCTTCTGTGACTGACAAAATTCACTCAGCATAATGCCCTCCAGATTCCTCCACGTTGTAAGATTTTTCACGGCTTCATCATTCTTTATCGTTGCATAGTATTCCACTGTGTGAATAAATCATACTTTGTTTATCCGTTCGTCCATTGATGGACACCTAGGTTGTGAACATTGCTGCAGTTAACATGGGTGTGCATATATCTATTAGTGTGATGGCTCTTATTTCTCTAGGATATCTTCCAAGCAGTGGGATTGCTGGATCATACGGAACTTCTATTTCTAGCTTTTTAAGAAAGCGTCAAATTGATTCCCAAAGTCTTTGTACCATTTTACATTCCCACCAACAGTGTATAAGTGTTCCAGTCTCTCCACAACCTCTCCAGCGTTTATTATTTTGTGTTTTTTGGATTAATGCTTGCCTTGTTGGGATGAGATGGTATCTCATTGTAGTTTTGATCTGCATTTCTCTAATGGCTGATGATCATGAGCATTTCTTCATGTGTCTGTTAGCTGCCTGAAAATCTTCTTTGGTGAAGTGCCTGTTCATATCCTTTGCTCATTTTTTAATTGGGTTGTTGGTCTTTTTGTTGTTGAGGTTTTGCAGTATTTCGTAAATTTTAGAGACTAGACGCTGATTGGATTTGTCGTAGCCAAAAAATTCTTCCCAGTTGGTAGGTTGTCTTTTTACTCTTTTGGTGAAGTCTTTTCATGAGCATAAGTGTTTAATTTTTAGGAGCTCCCAGTTATCTAGTCTCTGTTCTGGTGCTTGTGCATTGTTACTTATGGTTTGTATTCTGTTTATGTCATGTATTAGGTTTCCTAATATTGTCCCTATTTTTTCTTCCATGATCTTTATCATTTTAGATTTTATATTTAGGTCTTTGATCCATCTTGA